AATAATTAAACTTTTCATGCCCCCCCCACTCCCCAAATAGAATGACCCACATAGTGACTTGTTTTGTTCTAGTAAGAGTTTTACGGCGCTCGCAACTGCATAAGGTCATAATATGATCCCGCCAAAAAAAAAGTTGGTTCTATTCACGACAGTTCACTGTACAGCCCGATTCTGCTCAACACCACATAGTGGTACACAGCCTTGCTATGGACCTGCGATACATTTCATCGGTGCTTTGATGGAACCTTGTTAGCGCGACCTTTGGCGAATATAAATTTGTTGTTGTTTTTTTTGCACCAAAATATTCCTGATACCTTGGTACACAATGTGTTCATTATCCATTGTTTCAGGAAACAACATTTCTGTATTCCGGACTTGTCCATTGATGCTCCGTTGCTCTTTCCAAAATGTCGCCGAGGGTCTTTCCACTGATTGTGCCAGTGCACATATGGTTGAACGTTCTTCTGTTCGTTCCTGCAAGGATACCAGATTTTCCGCTTCCTTTTTGTATTCTCAAAAGCATCATCCTCTCCACAGCAGCACTGGCCTCTGCCTCCCTATCTTCCTCCTCAATCAGCTGGCGTGAGAGACATTTTAGGACCTCGACCCTATCTGGTTGAACCGTGTTGTCAACTGAGGTGGCCTCACCAGCCAGTCTGTCGGCTTTTTAATTTCCCTTAACGCCTGCATGGCTAGAGCAGAAAATCCATGCGAGCGATCGTATAGGCGTTGCTTCAAAACACAATGTGTATAAATATCAAATAAAATTCAACCTGCAAATGCTCCAAAATGCACTTTAAGTTCTCTCAAAGTAAGTAACCACTTGGAAGATGACAGCAAAACTCACTGACCCACTGGGCAGGTGCTCTTTTTAGTTTTAGTTGAGGTTTTACGGCGCTCGCAACTGCATAAGGTCATTTTAGACACAGAAGATTAGAAGTGTCACAAGAGAGTAACATACATAAAAAAGAAGGGGAGATAAGGAAGATAGATGTTTCATATGCAAGAAGAAGCAAACCACAACAGAGCACCCGCCAACCACCCACACTCACACTGACTCATCTGCGTGTCCATATCACAAAGAGTAACAATCAAAATGCAACCCCGAGTCATGACGGCTACTTACACAAAGGACATCAAGCTGGGAAGGACATGAATGTACAAGGAGGTCACTTTGTCCAGGCTGTGAAACACTAAAGAATTCCGGAACACGAACAGCGCCCAGATTAAAGGCCCGTTGGCGACTGCAAAACCAACAGCAAATATGTCCTCTCGGCTCGGGATAACCCTGAAAAGAAATAGGAATTCACACATTACCATACACGGCCAACCTCTTTGACACGGCAAGAAAAGTTAAGTTTTAGTAAGAGTTTTAAGGCACATGCAACACCATAAGGTCATATAAGTGTCGAAGAATAGATTACGTGTTACAAGGGAGTAGCTTACACAAAAAAGAAGGAGTGGAGAAGAGGACGACAGTTGTTTGATAGGAAAGAAGGAGCAAACCACACCAGAGCACCTGCCAACCACCCCGACTGCAAGATAAGCTGTGTAAGGGCTGAGAGAAGAACTGAGTAGGAGGACAGCCCAGCATATTTAGAGATACTGGACTTCAAGTGCAAAGCGATCGAGAAGAAGAAGAAGAAGAAGACACATTACCATTTTTTTAACTTAAAAAAACATTTTTTAAATAATCACAAGACAAGAAGATGAATCAGAAACTCGATTTTAGTATACAAAAAAAAAAATTCCATATTCCTTAAAAACGAACTCATCACATTCTTCTATAGATTCTACTGTAAATCAGTAACAGATACGTTTAAAAAAAAGAAAGGTCATTCATTTTGTAGTCAACATTATTTTCTTTGGCACGACAGGATCTCAAAACATGTGTCCAGTAACCATAGTGTCAAGATTAGAAGAAAAAAAGGACTTGCCTTGTAAAGTACTATTGTCCCAGCTATTGGGATGTAAACCTTTTAAAATCTGTAGAAACCAGCCACAGGGAATTTTTAAAATTAGTATCTTTTTTCTTTTAGTAGAGGTTTTACAGCGCTCAAAACTGCATAAGGTTGGTCATATGAGCGCAAAAGAGTGGATGTCAACAGAGAAGTCCTTACAGAGAATCAGACTTACTCTCTCTAGCTTCAACAGCACAAAGTCTGCTTCGACTATCAAGGCACCTTGGAAATAGCGGGTCACAAGAGTGTGACAAACATACAAAAGAAGTAGAGGAAAATGACCATAGTTAGGATTAGGAAAGAAAAAGCAGCAGTTCCCTGTTGCAGTTCAGGAACAGTTGTGAGCATGACATTGATCAATCAGCCCATTTACAATTACCACTCTACTGTGCATAAGAACATGGTTAATGTCCTACCCTTTGGGAATGGCCTAAAGACACTAAAGTCAGTAGCACCGCCCTGAGGGGATAAATTATGGTATTCTCTACAATAGGGGCAAACAGCTGTTTATAAAAATATTGATTTGTTGAGGCAAACTGACACAAATCAGGTAAAAGTTGGAGAGTCTATGTTCGATAGTTGAGAAGGTATTGTTTTATTTGTTTTAGTAGAGGTTTTACGGCGCTCGCAACTGCATAAGGTCATATGAGTGCCAGAAGATTAGAGGTGTTACAAGAGAGTAACAAACATAAAAAAGAAGGAGGGGAGATAAGGACGATAGATGTTTGATAGGAAAGAAGAAGCAAACCACACCAGAGCACCCACCAACCACCCACGAGAAGGTATTTAACAATATGTTTACGTCATAGTTCTCACCATATGTAAGTGTACCAGTAAATGTTAGCGTCATAGTTCTCACCATATGTAAGTGTACCAGTAAATGTTAGCGTCATAGTTCTCACCATATGTAAGTGTACCAGTAAATGTTTGCGTCATAGTTCTCACCATATGTAAGTGTACCAGTAAATGTTTGCGAAGTAGCAGAAGTCCAACAGGAAATACTGGTACTTCATTTTCCTGCAAGAGAAAAAAAAGGTAGCTATGATTAGTGCTGTTTGAAAGGAATGATGGAAAAACACCCATGACCAGCTGTGAAATAATAGCTTTTAACTTGATGAAAAAAGAAAAAAGAAAAAAAAAAAAAACAAACAACAAAAAAACAAACAAACAAACAAAAAAGGGTATGTAGAAATGCAAGGTATACGTGTATTTACTGCCAGACCCCCACCGCACAGTATTTACACGGACAGTTTTAGGATACCAATTTCGCTTTACGATTATCTTTTTTTTCGTAAGAGTTTTACGGCACTTGCAACACAATAAGGTCATATAAGTGCTGAAGATAAGAGGAGTTACCAGAGAGTAACAAACACAAAAAAGATGGAGGGGAGATAAAAATTATAGATGTTTGATAGGAAAGAAGAAGCAAACCACACCAGAGCCCCCGCCAACCACCCACTTAATGTAACCGACCATACAATGTGTGGTGGAGGAAATGACTAAAACATAAATTGTTGAAGGTGCCAATCACAGCATAGCATAGGCCTAGCCTACCTTTTGAAATTGCCCAATCAGACGCAGAGATCTTGATCTAGATCTGAATTAGTGCTCTTCACAACGAAAGAGAGAAAGAGAGAGAGAGAGAGAGAGAGAGAGAGGGAGGGAGAGAGGGAGAGAGAGAGAGGGAGAGAGAGGGCGAGAGAGAGAGAGAGAGAAAGAGAGACAAAAGACATAAGATTAAGAACATGAAAGACTTAAAGTTTAAGAGTTCGAGCCCATTATGGACCCGCAATTTTTAGGCAAGCTTTCTTCTTCTTCTCCTCCTCTTCCTCCTTCTTCTCCTCCTCCTTCTTCTTCCTCTTCTTCTATTTTTTCTTCTGTGTCTGCCTGTTTGTCTTTCTGTAACAAGAAAAATAAAGAAAGAAAGAATCGCAGTGATTGAAAACAAAGTCATAAAAACACACATCTGAGTTAGTCTTGGAGGTCTGCACTTTTCATATTGGCCCACTTCGCTCGCAAAAATGCGCTCGATCTTTTCGGGTATCTAGGAATCAAGGCTGTGTAGACCCACCCACATACTGCCCTCTCCTGTAGGATGGACCAGTAGCGGAAATCTTCAGAGAATTATCCTCAGGGAGATGGGCTCTCATTTCACAACTTGTGAAAGGGTTTGCATTTTATTCCTCTTATTTCAATTAACTTCTTCTTTCATTCTTCTTCTTCTTCCTCCTTCTTTTTCTTCTTCTTCCTCCTCCTCCTCCTTGTTCTTTTTCTTCTTCTTCTTGTTCATTAATCGCTGTACTGTAGCAGACATTGTGTTAGTGAAAACAAATAAACGGCAAAAAGATGTGGTTTCTTAGGAGACATTGAGAATAAAATAGAAGGAAATGAAATGAGGCAATTGTGAAAGAAGACATACAGTAATACGAACTACATGTTAAGGAACAGACATATAGTTTCTACAACA